TAAAATAAAGTAAAATAAATAAAATAAAAATTTAAGATGTTCAAATCAGGAGCATATAAACAATCCTTGGTCACTTTGGACATTTCCCAGCACCTCAATACTATGCTTGCGAGCCACTTATAACAGGGAGATTATTATGAAAGAGAGAAAGCAAAAGCACTGAATATATAGAAAAATGGATATGTGTTTCTGAGAACTAAAACTAATGCAAAATATTATCTTCAACTGCATCTGCAAACATGAAAATCCAGTACTTTAAATTTTTGATAACTTTTTTCACATTCCAAATGACACTGAATGACCATGAATATTGAATTGGGTTTCAAATATTAGAACTTGTAATTTGGAATCACAAGCATCAATTGTATATGTGTACTTTATATAAAATGTATACTTGAGATATATAGTTATGCATAATTTGAATGAAGAATATAATCATGCATAACTTTGAAATTTTTATAATTGAAAAAAGTTGTGTGACTGACACAAATTGTTTCAAATTGTTAAAAATCTAAAAGACAGATGAAATACATTCAAAAGTAAACAATAATACCTAATTAAAAAGACTGAATGATTAACAGTATCAGTTTTCTACATTATTTAGAAACAGTAAAATTCTCATTGAAATTGCAAAAAGAGAAAACAAAGAAAGATACAACTCACATTTCTTAAGATATATGCTTAAAAAAAAAACCCTTGTTCTTATTGACCTGTAAGTCCCATCCTTCCTGTAAACATTTACTGGGTATCTACTATAAATTAGATAATTATACTAGACATTACATAATTCCTGTTCCAAGAAATAACATTCCAAAATAGAGAAATTCAAATGAAAAGAATAAATACAATACAGGCTCTATTGACTACCACTGTACTAAACTGAAAACTAGCAGATAAACTTGCATTTTAAAATTCGTAATACAGGGGCTGGGGAGATGGCTCAGTAGAATAAGTGCTTCCCTGGCAAGTGCAAGGGCCTGAGTTCATTCCCCAGTTCTGAAAAAAAAAAGAAAAAGAAAAAGAAAAAGAAAATAAAATCGTAATACACACTTTAGGCTGGCAACCAAAAGCAAAACACAGCAGTTATATTCACTGCCATGATCCTTAAAAGGCTGAGAACTATTTCTATTTATTAGTAAATAAAAATTGTTAGTAGAAAAAGAAAGAAACCAAACCAGTTGAATCTATGGAAATAAAAGACTCTGGAGCAAATAACGAACAATATCAAGGTTTAACTTGGCTAGACAGATTCCAATCATCTTAGGATAAGCAGTCTCTTCACTATCACAATTAACATACCAGTCTCATTTTTTCTTTTTACTTTCTTCCAAAACCAAAACAAAATCTTTAATATAAAATGTACACACCAAGACCAACCTAAGATAAAATTCCAGAAAGTGGATGGTGTGGTTTGGAGATTTTTGCAAAGGAAACAATATAATACAGGACTCATTTTATAATATTTTATAATGAATCACCCAAAGATTATAAAAACAAACGCAGGAAACGTGTCCACATACTAACACTAAAAACTCCATCTGAAGGCCTACCGCTCATAACAATGCCTCCCACAGGTAACTGAAGGCCTAAATCCCACAACCAAGTCTCACACAGGCCCACTTCATGGATCTGTGCTGGAAAGGCCCAAAGGTCAGTCAGTGGTGGAAGCTAGAAAGTCTATGCCAGTGAGATGAAGGATCTGTGCTAGCAGGCTGAGGGATCTGAACTACAGCTAGGAAGCAATGCTCAAGGTAAGCACCAGAGCTTCCCCCAAAAGTACCACAGCCATCCTTAGCAACGGTGAGGACCTGAGCTCCTCCAACAATGAGGAAAGCTGAGTTCCCATCAGGAAAGCCAATCGACAAGATTCTCCATAAGGCTGAGAGTGCACCATCTTCCTCTCTGGAGACAGGAAGCAAAGCTCAAGATGAGGACCAAAGCTCTTCCAAAGTTCATCAGGAAAGCCAGACTGACAAGGTCCTCCAACACAACAGCCAGAGAGAACTAGCAGCTTCCAACAGCTTCTCCAAAAAGCCTCCCTAACAGCATTTGTCAGCTTCTTCTGTTCTGCCTGTATGCTGCTGGCAACAATCCTCAGGGGGGCCTCCCATACTCAGCACCACACTAATTTAATTCAGCTGAGCGTTATAAGCTGGCCATCAGTTAGAAATTCACTACAGTGGTTCAGAAAAACAAGGAAGCTGAACCAGTGGCTATGGAAAGCAAAAGATTACAACTACATGAGAAGCTTTGGAAGCAGTAGTAGTTTTGGGGGTGCAGTTTTGTTTTTAATCCTATCAGGACCACAGGTGAATTTTTAAGTCACTAACCCTTACTTTTAACGCAAAAAAAATTACATTTGCCTTTAATAACAGAAAACTCACAAGCAATCAGAGTAGTGCTCTAAATCTCATTTCCCCCACTGTTGGAAGAAAAAGCCCGAATTAGAATCTAGGAAGATCTACGAAGGCTGAGGAAGATAAAGTCACACAATGGTAAACTAGCTGGCTAGCAATCTCTTAAATCCAAGATAACAGGACACTGAGCTCTCACCTCTAGAAAACTCAAATAATGACCACAGGCCCCAGCCATCTGAAAGTCATCTTTCAAAAAATAATAAAACCCCAAATATAGTTTTTATATCTACCAGCCAAAGGCTTTCATTCTCCTTTTATATTAATCTATAAAAAAGCAAAAAACAAAACAACCCCGCCCCACTTTATCCTGGAATCACTTACATTTCTTTTTTAGGCTATCATTTCCCAAACCTCAATCATGCAAGCATTACCATCAGAATTCTTACCTTGCCTGCACATTTCCTGTATTACTGTATTTTTCAAACATTGATCTTTATCTGACTTTTGCCCTATATTTTCAGCAAGACTGTGAGATCTGCTTTTGGGTACAAGGTTTTTCTCATAATTTAAAGAATTTTCATTTCCTTTTATGTATGCATGTGTGAAAATTTCAAGAGTTTTTTAAATGCACATTTGCTTATGAAATTATCATGCATATGACAGTGTCAAAGTTTGGGAAGCCTGGGTGTCATAGGGCACGTCTGCAATCCCAGCACTCATGAGGCTGAGGCAGGAGGTTCATCTTAAGTCTGGGCTAGAAAGTGAGTTCAAGAGCAGCTGAAATGCATCGTGATACCTTGTCTCAAAAAGACAAAAACAAACAAAAAAGTTTGAGAAACGCTAATTTGGTATATGTTATTTTATTAAAAGTTCTGAGATCTGTGAGTTTTAATTTGGAGCCTGGCTTTATAATTGTGACATAGAGAATAGGATAGACTATGTCAAGAAGAAAAGGGAAACTAGAGAAAACTAGTATTTATTCTGCTGCTTTATCTGTGTTCCCTACCTCACCAGCAGTCTCTGATACTCCCAGTAAGGGCACTTGCACAGCACAGTATTTTAAGACCTCAAACTCAGGGTAGGATTTTACTCCCACTTAGGAACAGGCCCTCCAAAACATGTACAATGTATCAATCCCCAACATTTGTGCAGTGCCACAGAATTTATAGACAGTAGGCATAACCTCCATTTTACACGAGGAAACCTGGAGCCAGGCTGCGCTGGTTCACATACAAGTTCTGCCACACACCCACCATGTAATTTGCAACAAGCTTTCCCTTTGTAAACATCAGCTTCCTTACATGTAAAATATGGTTACAAATAGCTCAGAGGGTTCAACTATTAACAGTAAATAGACTCTCCCCATAGGACCATGTAAACCACCTACCGTGCCTTCTAATATACTAAAAGTGCTATAGTGTGCTATACACTATATAGTATTCAGTATTTGTTATTCATATTACTTATTGATTACACTCTCTGGATGAGGCATTTTACATATTACCTCGTTTAAGCTTTCCAATAACCTGTTTGCTGGGTACTACTAGCTTCCTCTTACCTTTGAGGAAACTCAAACCCAGAAAGTTTAAGCGAGTTGCTCAGTCCCTAAACTAGCAAGCAGGTGTTTAAATTTAGAACTAATCTTAACAAACCTGAGACACTGCATCTCGATACAGCCAAACTTCTTACAGAACGGAAAATCACTTCATCACTTTGATAGGATGTGAGTTTCTTTCACAAAGCAACAGAACATATAACTGTCACATACTTAAAAGGAATAAATTGATATGCTGGTTCTCAATACTGGAAATATTTGGATGTCCTATTAATTTAGGGTATGCTCACAGGTGTCAGATTCAAGGTACTGCCTAATTCCTTACAACCTTGGACTGTGAACAAATACCAGTGACACGGAATGTGACTTAGTTTTTTTTTTTTGTTTTTTTTTGTTTGTTTGTTTTTTTGTGGAACCGGGGATTGAACTCAGGCCCTTGAGCTTGCGAGGGAAGAGCTTATTCCACTGAGCCATCTCCCCGGCCCCGCCTTAGTTTTAAGTGGTTGTTTCACCTATCAACTGGAACCCTATCGTGTCCAGGGTAGTGGCTTACACTCTGGCTCCAGACTGGGCTTTACCTTAGCTGAACAGGAATAGGGGAGCTGGTTCTGACGCGCTCCATCTACCCAGTTGAAAGATCCAGGAAAGGAAGCAGCAGGAAAAAATGCTATTTTTACTACCAGAGGGATTAATGCCGGAAGGTTCGGAGTTCTCTTTTTGCAGAACTCTATTTGTCGAGCCAACTGATCAAGTCTCTTTTGGGCCACTTCGTTCCCAAAGTGCTCCTAACAGGGCCTCAAGGATTTTCCGTGAGCCAGAGCGGGCAAATCTCTGGATACAACGCGCTTTCAATCCTCCACACAAGGCACGGTAAGCCACTGGTTTAGTCCTAGCCTGCCTTGAAGATATAGGAAATGCCCCCTCAAGCTCACTCGGGTCACCTAACAGGCGGGTGGATCCTGTGCTTCTGACATCTGGGGCCAGTGAGCGCCCACCACCAACCGCTGGCAGCCGAGGGCGACGGTCCCCTCCCTCAGACGTCCCTGCTCGGGCTGCCTTGTACTCGGCTCAGGCCAGCCGAGGAGCTGCCGCCGCGCGTGCGTCCCATGGGCCCAAGGCGAACGGGACGGAGTCCTCGCCTGTGCGTCCCCTAGAACTTCACGACCCAACTACATCCGGCTCTTCGGCACAGGGCCGCTTCCAGACCTGTGCAGGCCAAGACAGGCGAAGGGAGAGCGAGGGCAGCGGCCAGCCAAGGGTCCCAGCGACCCTAAACAGGGAGGGAAGAGGACTGGAAGGGGCTGGGCAGTACCTGTAGAACCTGGACGGGCCGCTCCGAGTGACGCACCACGCAGTGCATTGTGGGGCCGGGAGTGGCCTCTAGGCAGGGATGCCCCACGTTCAACGCGGCTGGTGCTAGGAGTTAAGCCCCGCCCCTGCCCGCTCAGCTTGTCCAGACCAATCAGATTCTGTGGGAAGCATTCTCTGACCCGCCCCCTTCCGGGGGGCCCGCCTTAGTCCCGCCTCCCCAAGAGATTGGCAGACTATCACGCACCTGCGCCAGGAGAGTGCAGAGTCCTCTGGAAATGCAACTCGGCTGTCCCTCAAAAAAAGGCTAATCTCCCGCGCCTACCGCTCTATATCTGGAGGCAGTTTTTTCTCTCTCACACAGCTCTAAAGTGAACACTTTAGGAAAGAAGGAAATCTTCCTCTGGATGAGCAAGGAAAAGAACTGCCCCATCTTCCATCAGCCCTAGAAGAAAAGTAATCTTGGCTGAGAAGGGCCAGATACTGTCCTTATATTCCCTCCCAGAGTTTACATGACCTTGTATTATTAAACAAACATTTAATATTGTATTATTAAACAATATTGTATTATTAAACAAACCGGCTCTGAGGGGAGGGCTGGCGTGGCACGTGTTGCCTGGGATCAAACCGCTGTCTCTGGACTGGCCTGCGCTTGCGTAAGCAGGCACTTTAGACCGCTGAGCTATCTCGCCGGCCCAGTAACTAGATAAATTAAGCCACTTACTGATTCAGAGAATAAGGAATGAGGAGCAAATGTTTTCCTGCATGTTAAATTTGAAATATTTATGAATGGAAATGTCATTCAGATTTGAATAAATATGTCTAGAGTCGAGAAGAAAGATAACTGATTCTAAACTTAGTGGTTGTTAGAGTGAGTGAACCCAGCAATTCCAGTCCTCCTGGCTATACTGTCAACAGAAATGTATTCATATGTTCATGAAAAAAGTATGTGTATAAGAATGTTCATGAAAAAAAAAAAAGAATGTTCATAGGGTGGGGGTGATAGTTCGGTGGCATAAATACCTGCCTGCCAAGTGCACGGTCCTGAGTTTAATCCCCTGTACCACATGCTATGCTTGCCCCAGGACCCCAGGCTCACTGTGCCAGCCACCGAAACCAGGCATGGTGGTGCAAATCTGTAATCCCAGCACTAGAGAGGCTGAAACAGAAGGGTCACTGTGAGTCTGAACTGGGTAGCGAGACCCTGTATCCAAAAAAAAGAAAGAAAAAAGAAAAAAGAATGTTCATAAGATGAAGGAGTTTTAGTATTTTTACATAGAACACAAAAAAGAATAAACAATTTACCACTGTATGCCTATTATATGTGTGACTTTAGTGTGTTTTATTCAACAGAAAATTCATATTTCAAAAATATTGTGGTAGCTTAACAACTGCTGGTCAACTTGTAGCGCCCAACTGAACTGAATCATCGTGGTGCTGAGTGTGGAGAACCCACCTGAGAATTGTTGCCAACAACATAATAAGGAGAACTGGAGAAGAAGAAGTGGGCTATTGATTGTCCTGGAGAAGTATGCCACATTGGCTTTCCTGATAGGAAGTTGGCAGTGTTCATGGTTGGAGGAGCTTGAGACCTCGTAGTCACTGAGAATAGCTGCAGTTCACTTGGGGGAGCTCTGGTCTTTACTTTGAGCATCATTGACTCCTGACTGTGGAGGAAAAGGTGTGTGCTGTTGATCCTCCTGGAGAAGCTTATCACTCTGGCCTTCCTGATATGAACTTGGCTGGTCTTGTCATCAGAGAACAAGGGACCTTGTTATTGCTTAGGATGGCTGGCATTCTTTTCAGGGGAGCTCTGATCCCTATGTTGAGCATTGCTTCTTGGCTCCAATGCAGATCCCTCAGCCTGCTGGCTCAGATCCTTCATCCTGATGGTACACACTTTCTAGCTTCTACCTTTGGGGCTTCGTAGTGCAGATCCTTGAAACAGACTTGTGTGGGACATGGCTATGGGCTCTAGGCCTCCAGTTGACTCATGGTGGGCATTGCTATGGGCTCTAGATCTTCAGTGGGACTCGGATAGGACATTGCTGTGGGATCCAGACCCTCACCTGGATCCTTTGGGTCTTTAGTGTATGGACAGATCTCCCATACTCTTATGCATTTGTCTCTTGGGTGAAAATAATCCCATAAATTATGTGTCCCATATTAATTCCTTTTCCTTGCATATTCTGACTGCAACAGATGTTAAGTGTGATGCAGCCATAAGTAATTACCATGAAACTAAATTTACCATAAGGAATAGAAAGCCAAATCTATGGAACAAGTGTGTTCAGACATTGGACAGTTCAGGTAGAGAAAGGTCAGAATCCTAGAAAGAAAAAAAACAAACAAGATGAGCCCCCAAAACTCACCTCAACTGCTTTCTAGAGTTGTTTACCTAAGCACAAAAAAGAAAGAAGCCAGAGTATTTAAAATCTGGGACATTTTGTAAAAAAGCCACAGAAAACCCATACTAGAAATAAGGCTAAATTAGCCCAAAAGCTGATCTAAAAGTAAATTACCTGCTTGCTTGAAAAAAATTTTAGCAGTCTCTAAGCAAAGACAATAAAATCTAGGTAATCATGTAACAGTCGCACTCACTAAAAAATTACTATGCATGATTGGTGTGATATACATTCCTATAACCACAGCACTTGGGAGGCTGAGGCAGAAGGAGCACCATGAATTCAAGCCCAACCTGGGCTACACAGTAAGTTCAAGGTCAACATGAGCTATACAGTGAGACCTTATATGTAACTATTGTTGTAAGCTGGTTTAATTAACTCCATTTTGTAACCAGCTTTGTAACTTCTGTTTTGTAAAACCTTGATTTCTTTTGTAAACTCCCACTCATGCCTAACTGCAAAATGTGACTGCTTGTGCAAATAAGAAAGTGTTTCTCAGCATTCCGAGAGAAGATAAAAAATGTTCCTCAACATTCCGCAAAATGAGTTAAACCGTTCTTCTGATTACGAGAACAAACAGAACACTTGAAAATGGGTTAAACTGTCATCAGATGTCCTTCCTACTACCAGAAAAAAACAACGCCTAAGCCAAATAAGGACATATTCCTGTAGGGTTTGCAAAATGTGACCTCGTCTATGGGAACAAAGAGTTAACCCTCGGTCCTGACTAACTCAAAATAAGCTTTGTAAAATCCCCCCTCATTCCCCTACTCTTTTTTTTTTCCATAATTTTATTGAGAAACAAATAGCAATGAGACAGTTTCAAACCAAATTGGTAGGACAGTTTCAATGATTAACACATTGCATACATTCTT